GAAAATGAATTAAGTACAGTTACCTACATCAACATGAATGAATCTTAGAAAGATAATATGGAATGAAAAAGAGCAAGCCAAAGAAGTCTACAAACAGTATTATCTCATTCTTAGGATGATTTACAAAAATGAAGGACAAAATAATAGATGGTAAATAACAGATATAAAATTCAGGAATTACTATAGGAGAGAAACACATATGATCTCTCAATGATACTGGCATTTTTTTCCCCTTAAACTGGGGGATTGTTTAAGAAGCGTCCATTTTATTATTATGCTTCATAATTTAAAGAAAATGTCAGCTCTGAGAAGGCAAGGATTTTTTGTCTTGCTTTGTTCACACTTGTGTCCCCAGAATGAGGAACAGTACCTAGCACATACTAGACGATTAATAAATAACTGTTGTGGGTACTCAGGAGAAGGAGGCTGGGGGATCCTGAGTTCAAGGTCATCCCAGACAATATTATTGAGATGCTATCTCAAAAACAAAACAAAACAAAAGGATGGGAAGGGAGCTGAAGTGGTAGAGTGCTTGCCTAACAACTGTGAATCCCTGGATTCAGTCCTCAGTACCACAAAATAAATAAACAAATAAATAAAACTGTTTAGAGACTGGGCTATAGCTCAGTGATAGAGCACTTGCCTAACCGCTATTAGGCCTTAGGCTCAATCCCCAGCACTGAAAAAAAAAATCTGTTTAATAAATGAATACATATTACTCACATTCTTTTATATGATTCAAATAGTTCATGATTTTTAAAAGAACTAGATTGGGTTGTAGCTCAGTGGTACAGCACTTGCCTAAAAGAAGAAATAAGCCTATTTAATCATGATGCCCCCTTGGTTATTCTATCTGGAAGTCATACTTTTTCCTGAACTCCTCTTACCCATATGGCCTTTTAAATCCTGCTGCATATTATGGTTACATAAGTACATGTCACTTTTAGTGATTATACATTTATGAAGACAAGGGATTGTACTTTCTCCTTTTGTATACCCATCCACCATATGTGGCACAATATTTTTACAAAGTAGATGCTCAATAAATATTGGCTGGTTACTTGAGTTTACAGGAGGCAACAGCAGATGAGGAAGGCAAGACCTATGCTATGTAATAAAGTTAAAGATAAAAAAGAACTTAGTAATCATTTTATTATTTCCTACATTTTACAGGTAAGAAAACTGAAGCCCAGAGAGTTGTTATTCTCATGTTAGCATGCTCAATGCCCTGGATTCAATCCCAATCACAAATAAACAGAGAGTTCAAGACCTTTGAATAGTCCTTATTAGAGTGCAGTTAGAAGAAAGAGAATCCTGGAAAATTAATGCTGGATAGAGTATCAAAGATCACCTGCTCTTTTCCCCTGATTTTTCCAAATGAGGAATCTAAAGTGTTGAGGGATGAAGTAATTTGAATAGTTATTCAACTAGTTAGTAGCAGGGTTGGGTCTAGACTATCAGTCTCCTGCCTCCAAGACAGCTGTGCATTCCATGTTATAGACTGGCCATATGTGCATCTGATAAAACATGTCACAAAGCAGCCTCATTTAAGCCATCAGGAATGAAAACCCAATGATTTGAATGAACCCTTCCTCGTCTCTCTGAAAATATGTTTTTTGCTTTTAATTGGTAAATAATAATTGTATATATTTTTGGGGTACAATGTGATTTTTTGACCTATGTATACATTATAGAAAGATTCAATCCAGTTAATTAACAAATCTATCACCTCACCAATTTATTTCCGTGTGTGTGGTGAGAATGTTAAAAATCTATTTTAGCAATCTTGAAATGTGCAATACATTAACCATGGTCATCATTCAGTGCAACAGATCACTAAAACTTATTCCTCCAGTCTCACTGAAACTTTGTACCCTTTGATCAACATCTTCCCTTTCCCCATTCCTCCTCCTACCTCCACAACACTTTTTTTCTTTGTCTTTCTCTGTGCCCTAGTCTCTCTCTCTCTCTCTCTCTCTCTCTCTCTCTCTCTCTCTCTCTCTCTCTCATACCATTTATGTTCCTCCCTGTCAATCCTTTTCTTTAGGGTTTCAGTTTGAACTATGGTGTGCCTGCATGATTCTTTTGCTTTTTCTTCTCTAAACTACTGTTTCCTGATCAAAGGCAAACATGTACAAACCAAACAAGATCCTTTCTTGGTGACCTTTGTGGAAAAGAACACAGGAATTTCAATATGAGAGATGCTGAACCTTTCTTCTAGCCTATCCAGTCAATTAAAATGAGTCTCTTGCCCCCCTGGGGGTTGTTAACCAATCCAAGAAAAGAAAAGATCAATCTAATTTCTTCGTCACTACAGTGCAGGGAGGCTGCTAACCAGTCAGAACCTACCACTAGCAGTCATTAGAAAAACTGGCCTATCAGGCCAACCTTGTTACATGGTCTGGTAGGAAAAGAAAAGGATTGATTGGAAAGGATAGTTCTGGCTCCACACCCTTTCCTTCCTGGAGCCCAGTTCCTTCAGTGGGGTGAAGGAAGGACTCTTCCCCAAGCCCCTGGTTAAGAAGATCCCTAGACTCTCAGTTATTCTTCTCTTGGATCATCTGTTTTGTTTTAAAATTCACCCCTCTCTCACATACCTTTATTCACTTCTTGTGGTCTCACTGCTCTGCCACGGATCTAATTTCTTGCTTCAAACCTTGTTGCAAAGGCCCCCAGGATTTTCAGCCTCCGCACAGATTTCCACCCACCAATGTCAAATAATTCATTTTGCATGATTTATGTGAGTGAAAAAGTTTTGTAAGTGATACTTGAGTCTCTTTCAGGAGATACCACGCAAGGACCTTGCAATAATTTCTAGGGAGCAGTGTAGAATTAAACTGTGATGATTATGATGTTGACAGCAATTATCAAACGCTTACTGGTACCAAGCACCTTGCAAAGACTTCACGTACATTTTATAAATATATAATTCCCAAGATACATGATATTGGCTTTAGGGTAAGCACTTACGATTCTCAATTTACAAGGGAGGAAATTGATTTAGAGGGATTAAGTAACTTGCCCAAGGTCACACAGAGATTTGGGAACCCAAGTCTGTTGGAACCTGCAGCTTAGCACTATATGGGGTTATCAGACATTGCAGGTTGTGACAACTTTTCCAAGGGGCCAGCTTTCCCTTCCTTTCAGGCCCCTTCTCTGGTCCTCTCCTTGGATTGTTAGTGATATCTGAGATTGTCTAAATTGTCACAACAAACAGCTGCAGCCAGCGTTTGGCAGTCCATAGTCTAAGAACTATGAACTTTCTGCTTCTTAAAATTTTAAGTGAGAGCTGAAAGGAATCCCTGTTTCAGCGAGGGTGGGGCGTTCCGGGACCTCACGGGTAAACTAAATCCCTGCCAGTTTGCCCTCTCTTTCTCCTGCAGCATCTTACACAATGCTCACACCACTTAGTGCTTGGTAAATACCTGTTGATAGATTCCCAAAGGTCCCAGTCCAGCCCCTGCCCCAGTCAACAACCGGAACTGGAGAGAGATTTGGAGGATTTCAGGGGAACCCGTGAGAATCCTAAACGAGCTGAAATCGAGAATTTAGGAAAGGCGGGAAGTCCCTCACCCTTCTCTCCTCTCCCGCTTCTCCTATTTCTCCCCACTCCTTCCCCTCCCTTTCAGGAGCTCAGGGCCATAAAAATGCAGATGGAGGATCGGTGTGAAATAACGGGCCCATATAAATCCCTCTGCCGCCCGCCTGCAAGATGGATTGGCCGCATTGAAATTCCTCCGCGAGGATAATTAAACTCGGGGCCTCATCCGGGCAAAATTACATTCCTGTAATGGCGTCGCTCGGGGTCCCGGGAAATTGCTCCGTGGGCTTTCAGCGGCGGTTTTTATCGCCGGCCGGGGTGTGCCTGGCTGCGGCTCGCCTCTCCTCCGGGACCGTAAAGCTGCTGCCGTGATTTATCCTCCCCTTCTCCCAAATCCGATTAAATGGAGGAGCTCGGGGCCGGGGCGCCGCGGGGCCGAGGAGCCGGGAGGGGGCGGCGAGAAGGACGGGGCCAAGGAGGGGAGGACAAACAGCCCCTCAGAGGGTGGCGGATTTGGCTTTATTTACAGCCGCGGCTTTTTTATTTTTCTTTTTTTATGGGGGTTTGGTGAGCTTTTCCCGTCTTTCTCGTGCTGCATTCAAGCTCGATGCCCAGGCGGCTGAGGTTTGGAACTGGGTAGGCCTTGCCGCCCTCTTCCAGGTCTTGGTCAGGTCCTGGCAGGAGACAAAAGAGGCCTACAAGAGACGAGGGCCAGGAAGCCCCCACCTCCCTCCTCCAGGAGAAAGAGGAGGGAAGGCTTTCGGGGGAGCACAGCACCTCTTGGGGGTGCAACCTGGGCTGAGGCTCGGGCTTGCTTGGGATGACCTCGCGCCTTACTGCAGGACGTATTTGCCTGTTATTCCTAGTCTATGGTTTTCTCATGGCTTATCAACAGAATTTTAAAAAAAGGTGGGGGGGGGGGCGGAAACTAAGGGGAAGCCAACTGTGGCATTTTGTTGATTATTCGCCCATTAAACCTGTTTTCTATCCGGCCATGCCAGGATCCCATGACTTCATTTTCCTCCTGCTGTATTTTAGGTACTGAACCCCAAGCCCTATTGTATTGTATTTAACACAGAATTTCTGAGTGGACTTTATAACCCCTATCAACCCAATGTGGTTGCGCATACTCAAAAAGGAGGCATGAGGCCAAGATTCCAACTGCTGTGCAGACCAAGCCACAGGCCACGTTACAGACGGACTTACTCTGCAGAGTTGGCGGCCTTTCTGCACGCGATCGGCCTGCCTGTAGTTTCTCTTCTAAAACGCCAGGTGGAGCTTCTGGCCGGACGCCGCCACAGAGTTGATAGGCGGCGCTGTGGCGCCGGGACCGACCCTTAGCTTTGCGTTCACTCTATCCACGACGGAGCGACTCGTTGGCCGCGCATGCGCCGAGCTTTCCTTTCGCTCTTCCCGTTCCCCCACTCCTCCCCCGCCCCCTCTGTCGTCTCTACGCTGGGAGCAGGTAAGGCCTAGGGGCCTCGTGCCTTCTCTGCGCCGCGCAGGCGCGCGAGGTATCACTCCTCACGCGGGTGGTTTGAGGCCCTTACTTTGCTTGCTCCCACCGTGGTCCTCGCACTCTCCCGGGCTACCGGTGTCCTTAGGCCTGAAAACTACCCCTTCGGCGTGTGGGTGACCTCCAACCGCGCGGGCCTGGCGCCATCTTGGGTGTCTCGTGGGGGCTGGTGGGGGGAGGAGGAAGCCTTGCAGCTGGCGGAAGCCAAGTGCCTTAGTGCTGGTTTCACCTGTCGCGACCCAGCCCTGAACACAAGCTCGTTGCTCACCCTTTTGCTCCTTCAGATTTGTCCCAAGTCTTAGGCTCTTCCCTCCTATCCTTACTTTCCTCTTTGTACTCACTCTTGCCGCCTTTATTCTGAAATTTCCAGGACCTCAGGCGCTGCGAGCAGTGGAGATAGTGCATCTAAAGCCACCAATCCCTCTAGTCAGCATCCTTCGTTTCAAAAAAAACCAAACCGTAAACGTAGAAACGAACAGAACAGCCAACAGAACAATGGCTTTGGGAAAGCTATGGCAGAAGAGAGACCCGGTTTTTGGGAAACGCTGATTATTGTCCAGTACCTTTCTGACTTCCCTGGCACTCTGGTGAAGTTAGAAAGGCCACAGGTGGTGGACTAGAAATGAGGTGTCTGTTAGAAGTGGGCCCAGAGATGAAGTTAAGGCCAAGCTCCTAGGACCAGCATTAGTTTCCACCTGCCGTATTTACTGGCATGTGTTTATTAAGCTCCTTAGATTCTGCCAGCAAGCGGAAAAGAAGGCTTACGGAAGGGAATGGTCACTGTAGCACTCCTGTAATTGTGGCAAAACCCAATGATGATTTAGGAGCTCTGATCCTGGAGAGTGCCTTTGCCCAAGTGTAGGCAAGCAATTGCAGGCTTCCCAAGGTTTGGTGATCAATGGAGGAATCTGCAGCAAGTGTAGGCTCCCTTAATTGCCACTCTTGTGGGCTTATTATATGCCAGCACCATATATTCTGTCATGTTAATTTGTAAATTAACAGATTTAATCCCCCTCAGGATTACATTTTACAAGTGATCATTTTAAGGCTTAATAATTGATTTTGGAAAAAAACAGGCCTCTCTTTTCTAAAAAAAAAAAAAAAAGTATTGGGTTTTGACTCAAGAAAACCTGACTAGCTGGGCAGCAAAATTGGGTTAAAATTATGTATAAGCTTAAATCTGAGTTCTAGATAGGAGAAAACTTAAAGACATCCATTCATTATAAGTAATTAAAGATATGGATTCAGAAGTGGTGTACCCTGGGACAGTTTGATTCCAGTTCATTTAAGTATTTAATAGGCCTGTATTTTAGCCTGTATTTTAGCCTGTGGTATGCTAGAACTTAAGAGTGAAAATACCCAAGTTCAAGTCCCACCTCTGGCCACAACCATAGTTTCAATACTGGTATTAAGACTGGGCTCTTAATTGGAAGGAGAGTTCATTTGGAAAACTCTTGAAATACAAGACATGTGGACCTTATCCCCAGTGACCTGGATCTTGAGCCCAAGAATATGGTTGTTTTGCTTATTGTGTTTTGTTTTTTATTTTTTGGGACAGGGTCTTATATAACCAGGTAGGTCTCAAATGTTTGCTCCTTCTTAGTGCAGGGATTATAGGTGTACACCACCATATCTGGCAGGAATATGTGTTTCAAAAAATTAGCATATATGAATTACACAAAGGGATTTCATTCTGATATTTCTATACATGCATATAATGTACTTTGACCATATTCAATCCCTCGATAATACGGACTTTTTTTGGATGGGGGGTGTTATTTTTTATTTTGATGGTACTGGGGTTTGAACACAGGGCCTCACACTTGCTAGGCAGGCATTCTACTGCTTGAACTACTCCACTAGCTCAGAAATACACATTTTTTGGTACATACATCACATCTGCCCCCAGATAATTCTGGCTCTGAGTTCACTTGGAGAAACCTTGCCTTTCGTGTTTAACTCACACTCTCTTCTCTCAGGTAAGTTCAACGCTACCAAGTTAGTCACATACAGGGTGTTAGAACTTCTTTAGTTCTTAGGGATACAAAATTTAATACCTCTTAGTGTGATGAAAGAAATTAGTAGTTTACAGTTGTTAAAGTAATGGCAGAGTTCCTCACTGATTTGCCCATCCTGTTAATTAAAATGTTTTGTGGAGTCAAATGCTTCTAGCTAATTCAGTAAAAAGATTGTTGGAGAACTTCCAGTGTCTTGACCTTCAACAGATATCTCCTGCCAGGTGCACACCTGTAATTCCAGTACTAGAGAGATAGAGGTAGGTGGACTACATGCAGTTCGATGCCATATAGTGAGTTCCAGGCCAGTTTAGGCCATAATATCCTATCTCAAAAAACAAAACAATAACAAAAAAATATTTGCCAAGAGTAAGGAGTACAAGGACTCTAGTCTTTAGGGGCTAGCGCTAAGGTAGCATGCTCAAGGCCCTGGATTTTATACCTTGCACGACCACCACAAAAACAACATCAACAAAACTAGTCCTTAAAGACAGTTTTTTTAGGCCTAGACATGAGGTCTAGAGAAGAGGTGCTTTTTAACAAAGACTGAAAATAACTTAGGCAAAGAATACTGAGAAAATTATTCTGACGACCCCAAATCATGAGGCTGTGAAAATGAGTAATAGATCTTAAAGCAGGAACTCAGTGAGTATTTGTTCAAACATGAGAATATCACTTGATTGTAAGAAGATTTTGGAAACTTTATGGGGTTTTCTAGAGGAAATCATTATTTCACCATTCTGACTATGTCTATAACTTGAGGCACTTTGCTATATGCGAGTTTAGCTTTCTAAAGCACCTTTTCAGTTCCTATGTAGTTTTGTGAGCAAGGACAATGTTTTCAGTGCTGCTTCTGTAATTCCAGCTCTCCTACCACAGCCCGACACCCCTGAAAATGTACACCTGCTCCAAGTTTGTCTCCACCCCTTCCTTGGTGAGTACAGCTTTTTCTGGGAAAGTTTTAAAGGAGGAGCACCCTATTTCTTCCTATCAGACCTTGTTCTTCACAGGTTGGCTGGGGGAAAGTCAATGAGATTCTTGGAAAGGGAAGGCCCTGTGGTAGCCTGACAGGAGAATGAATGCTTGCCAGTAACTCCCCACCCCATATCCTTTGGAGGGCAGTTAATTTTTCTCCAGCCATGACCAAGGTCATGTTCCTAATCCTGAAACTATATGTTCCGGTAACCTGAAATCTAGTTGGAAGTGGAAGCATAAAATTGAGGGCTGAGTATGCACTATGTATAGGATCTTGTTCTTAGTGAGCTATAGATAGGAGTTCATTCTGGGAACTTAAGTTTGGGTGAGAGACTAAAATATACATAAATGCATACTGGAAAAATATTTGGCCCAGAAGCAACAGCATGGAAGAAATTGAAAATTAATTAACTGGTGGAGCATTACTTCATCCCTAAGTAAAAAGTGACACCATTAGTAGATAAGTACCATTTACTGAATACTTACCATGTGCCTGGAATTAAGTTTACCAATTTGTATACTTCATCTCTTTTGCTCCTCAAATCAACCCTTAGAGATATTATTCCCATTTGATAGGTGAGAAGACAAGTCTAGAACAATTTAAGTGTCTTATCCGTAGATTCCATAGCTGACAAAACATGAAGATTTGAGTCTAGAGCTATCTGGCTCCAAAACTTGGGTTGTTAGCCACTCTATTAATCTGTTTTGGAGACAGCTGACTGAGGATTAGTCAGAAGACAACCAGGAGATGCTGAATTTTGAGCATGGATCTTTGTGTCTATTTTCCAAAAGGATGTATTCAGGGAAGGACACTAATCCTTGACTTCCTTCTTGTAGACTGGCCCTTACCAATGTATAGCTCCCTACTGAGTGAAGCAGATGTTTCTGAGACTTAGATTTCTTCTCATTCACAAGGGCTATAAAAGGATACAGCAAGAATGAGTAGACCCTTATACCCCTCAAAAAGCAAGTAAACTGACTTTCCTTAAAGCAAAGCCTAAAGCCCAGCATGCTTCAATCCCAAATAATGCAGAATGATCCTGAGTTTGAGGCCAGTCTTGGCAAAGGCAGCAAGACTCTATCTCAAAAACAAAAGGGCTGGGGATGTGGCTCAAGTAGTAGAATCCTTGCCTAGCAGGTGAGAGGCCCTGGGTTCAATCCCCAGTACCATAAAAAAAAAGGAGGAAGAAAGAAAAGAAGAAGCAAAGCTTAGAGAAGTGGTATAGTTCTTGAATCTAAAATTTCTTTTAAACATTTTTTATTAGCATATATTAGCTGTATGGGGGGGGTTCGTTGTCACATTTCCAAATATGTTTACAATATATCTTGGTTAAACTTGATCTAAAATTTGCTAAAGATAGGTGCAGTGGTACATGGCCTACAGTTGCAGTCACTTGGGAGTCAAGGAGGATTGCTTGAGCCTAGGAGTTCAGATCCAACTTGGGCAACATAGCAAGACTCTATATCTTTATAAAGAATTTTTTCTGAAAGGAAGAGTAATCCAAGATATTGATTACTAAGTATGATGGAAGGGATATCAGAGAAGATCCTTCATATAAAGTAACAAGTTGGCATGGTTCTGAAAGTCCTCTCCACAGTCTTCCTTGATCTTCCAGCCCTTGTTATTCCCACTAGGTAAGGAGCACGTCTCAGCTGCTGAGCCGACCGCTGTCTGCAGTGGTGCTGAACCAACCACAGACACTGACAGATGAGGTACCTTAACAGGTGGAGTTGGGACTATGGCTTGGGAGTGAAAGGTAGGGAGGTTACCTGCCAGAACCAGTAGGGGGAGTACTGAGGACAATCATCACAGAATAAAATTTGGAGAGGATCAAGGCCATTGGCTTCTGTTAGAGATGGAAGACAGTTAATACCATGTATATTTTAGTACTCCAGCTTTTGCCACTGGCAGTACATGCTCCTGGGTGCCACTGCTAACACCATTACTTAGCCTAGTCTACTGACTTGAGGCCCCAGGCACCCAGGCTAGGACCTCAGATTTATAGTTCTAACCACACTTGAATTGTGAAGGTACTTGAAGTCCACCTCCTACGTTAAAATGTTCTACTTGGCTGGGTGCCAGTGGCTCACACTTGTAATCGTAGCTTTTCAGAAGGCAGAGATCAAGAGGATCAAGGTTCGAAGCCAGCCTGGGCAAATAGTTCACAGGACCCTATCTCAAAAAACCCTTCACAAAAAAGGGCTGTTGGAAGGCTGAAGGTGAAGGTCTTAAGTTCAAGCCTCAGTACCCAGTACCGCACACACAAAAAAAGGGTTCTACTTGTTTAGCATTTTAAGGAGTTTTCCAGGGAGTTAAAGATTTTCCATTTGGAGAAGAAACCATGGGATTTGACAGCATCAGTGGTTTAAATGATACAAATGTTTCCAAAGCAAAAAAGGGATTTCCAAAAAAACTTTGCCTTCTACCTTCCTCTTTACAGGGCCTCAGAAGCTTGGCAGTCCCACGTACCCTGACCTCACTTGTCCCCAGTCGCAGCTTCCAAACCAGCACCATTTCAAGGGACATCGACACAGCAGCCAAGTTCATTGGAGCTGGGGCTGCCACAGTTGGGGTGGCTGGCTCTGGAGCTGGGATTGGCACTGTGTTTGGAAGCCTCATTATTGGTTATGCCAGGTAAGATAAGTTGAGTTCTCCATTGGCTCTGATCCACAGATCTGGATAGAAACATTATGGGGTCAAAAGCTGCACTATCCTTAATAGTAGCCACTCCCAACATGTTGCTATTTTTAAGTTAAATTTTAATTAATTAAAAATACATAAATTGTAGGTTTTCAGTTCCTCAATCACATACATGAGGTGCTCAGGAATCACATGTGGCTAGAGACTACCAAATTCGACTGCAGATAAAGAGCATTTATATCATTGAAGAAAGTTCTTTTGAGCAACTTTGGTGTAGAGCAGGGTTAAGCAAACTCGGATAAATTTGGGCTGCAGCCTGGTTTTCTATGGTTGAGCTAAGAATGGTTTTTACTTTTTTTTTTTTTAAAGGTTATTTTTTAAAAATAGAAGATTTTGAATGTTCTTAGAATAAAGCAATAAATGTCTAAGGTATTGAATGTGCCAGTTACACTGATGTGATATGTATCAAAGCATCACATTATATTTCATGTATGTATAATTTGTTATCTGGCCCTTTACAGAAAAAGTTTACCATCCCTGGTGTAGAGCTCAGACATTGTAGTAGCTTTACTGCTGTTTTCCCCCATCTCTGGGAGTTCCTTCTGTACTCCTGGGACAACTACCTCTATACCCAGCCCTACTGGTCCCTGACACCTGGGATTATTTGGTCCCCACAAGCTCTGGATAACTCACTGTTAGAACTAAATTAATCCTTTAGAGACCAGCAAGTTTTTTTAATGTCTAGAGAAATAGCTGGGTTTTTTTAGAATTGGTATTAAATAAGAAGCCTGACTGCTTCTCTGTCCACAATTTTGTTAAAAGCTGCTGTTGCTTTACCTTATTACTCACCAAGACTTCCAGAAGTAACAAAGTAAGGGAAATACAGATTATATATTAACTTTCAAAATTGGGAGTCCTTTATACTATTTTGACTCATGTAAATACCACAGGCCACTTTTAGCATCTTAAAATCCAAAATCTTCTGATTATTTTGAGATGAGGGAAGTGAGCCCCTCTGACTCTCATGTCCTCTGAAGTGGTATTTTTCTAATTGTGTGAAGATAGGATCCAGAGATTATCTGAGAGAACAAAGCAGAAGACCAGACAAGCATTTAACATTCCCCACTTTATTTGCACCATTGCAGTTTAGCTTCTGTTTCCTGTTTGGGGATTATACTGCTCGAGAAAGATTGTGCCACTCTGGATGTCTCTTCCATCCTTTTCAGGGCTTGGGTGTTAAATGTCCAGGTCTAGAGATTTTAAGTTATGGTGATGGGGTCATGCAGAAGGTAATGTTTATACCTAGGCCAAGTTACAGGATTTTAAATTGTTTACTTCTGCCTCATTTTGTTGAGACTTTGATGTATCGGGGCAAGAATTGGACATGACAGTGTCCCCCTGAATGACTTCTTACATAAGATGAACTTGAGGGGAATTTTCCCTGAGCCCACCTTAGACGTTTGGCCTTTTCTTTGTATGAACTAGAAATTGAGTCTTTTCTCTTCCCTTTCTCCCAGGAACCCTTCTCTGAAGCAGCAGCTCTTTTCCTACGCCATTCTGGGCTTTGCCCTCTCAGAAGCCATGGGGCTCTTTTGCCTGATGGTGGCCTTTCTCATCCTCTTCGCCATGTGAAGGAAACGTCTCCACCTCCCATAGTTCTTTCTCCCATGTCTTGTCTGCCCTGTATGTTCCTTTTCCTATACCTCCCCGGAAGTCTGGGGAAAGTCTGGTTGGCTCAGGGTTTGACAGAAGGAAGACAAATAAATACTGTATTAATAAGATGTTTCTTGAGTCCCCGTGTATATTTCTTTTCCAAAGTTGGCTGAGTGCCTTGTGAGAGTACAAGGCCTAAAAGGTGGTGATGGTTCTAAACAGAGGTCTGGGCTCATTTATTCTTAATTCTCTGTTTCATTCAAGATTGCTAAAATAGATTTTTAACATTCTCACCACACACAAATAAATTGGTGAGGTTATGGATTTGTTAATTAACTGGATTGAATCTATAATGTATACATAGATCAAAAAATCATATTGTACCCCATAAATATATACAATTACTTCCTTTTTAATAATGATCACTTGGCATGTCCTGGTACTTGCCTTGGAGGATTAGGGTCACGAGCAACTTAGAGTACTGGCTTAAAATGATGACTAGTAGGCTTTCTGTTAACTATCACTGCCCGTGTCCTAGCTCAGGTACTCATTACAAGAATTCTCAACTGGCCACCTACCTCCAGTCCCTTCCCTCTAGCATTTACTTCTACCTGTCAGATGAACCTTATGTACAGGACTGGGTTTGTCATTTATAAGTATGATCTACGGTAAATTGTGGATTTGTGTGCACATGAACACTATCCGCAAAATTAGTTTGTCAGTTTCTTGAGACAGGGACTATGTCATATTCATCTTTCCCTAAAAGTATCTAGAAATGACATCGTAGCAAGTGCTTAATCAGATTTTTTATTTAGTCATTTTATCTGTTCCCCTTCACAAATGACTCAAAGTATTCTCTCTCAGACATTAACTCAGAGCCAGGGTCATCTCATGCAGTTCAGGGTATAAGACTATCACATTGTTGGTCTCTCTTCGCCCATCATAATGTTGCCTCTGATTATTGAGAATATATGAAGGAAGGGACAGACCAAGCAAAAATAACATTTTCCCTTAAAAACAACTCAAGATGGTCATTGAACTAGAGAGTCAATATAAAGATAAGGATTCCTTATATTTTCTAAAGGTTAGGTAAATTGAAAGCTTTATCTTACATGGCTTGAAGTAACTGGGTGTAAACTAATGTCCTTCCAAAATGATGTGTATGATCATAATGATTTTACTTTTACTTCAGTCAGTGACAAATTCCTTATCATTGACCCTGCCCTTTTGGTATTTAGGTGCTTGGGGAGAGCAAAACTATGGCACATAATTTTTGTTCTCTCTGAGGTGAATGACAAGATGGCTGCAAGAAGCTTAGAAGCAAATTTATTCAGGAGGAGTCAAGGCAACCTGGGTCCTCTCCATTTCAGGCCCCAAAAGCCATTTATTGGCCACCCAAGTTGCCAGCACATGGTATAAAGGAGTGCTGAGTTCAAGAACAAATTGAAGATCTCTCCAACTTTGATAACATGGTTATGAAGACTTTCTATTTGTCTTTTTTTGTGTGGTAGCATTAAGGTTTGAATTCAGGGCCTTGGGCTTGCTAGGCAGGCTTTCTTGAGCCACTCTACCAGCCATTTTTTGTGATGGGTTATTTCAAGATAGGGTCTCCAGAACTATTTGCCCCGGGCTGGCTTCGAACCCTGATTCTGATCTCTGCCTCCTTAGTAGCAAGGATTAGAGGCGTGAGGGTGCCTGGTTCTACTTGTCCTGCTTTAAAAACAGCACATGAGGGCTGACAGAGTAGCTCAAGTGGTAAGAGTACCTGCCTCCTAGCAAGCATGAGGCCCTGAGTTAAAACCACATGATTCACAGTACCACAGTACCAAAAAAAAAAGAAAAGGAAAAAAAACCTTAGTGAATGTCTATTGCTGGGGGCATGGCTTAAGTGTAGAGCACTTGACTAGCATAGACCCTGAGTTCAAAGCCCAGTACCACCCCAAAAAATAGCACATTATTTGAAATCAGGAGACTTCAGCTCTGATATCTCTTGTAGCACTGGCCCCTATGATGCTGAGCACATCACTAACCAATAACTTCCTAGAACCTTTGTTTCTCCTATCTAAACAGAAGTAATAATACTCATCCCAGGGATTATGAAAGTGTATACAAAGGTGCACTGGAATATGTATATTGAATGCATATATGTACATTGATTATAATTTGCTTTCCCACTCTTCAGGGAGTTCAGAGCCAATTACAGCCATTTTATAGGCAGTTTCTCCCTTTTCTGTTTGGCATGAAGGGAACTGGCCAGTCAAAATTTTTAATGTGGCCAGAAAGCATCTGGAGAGAGAACCCAGGGAAGCTGAAGGCAGCAAGATCTACTTCCCTCTTCTTATGCCTGAGTTTTTTCAGCACCTGGGGAGGAGTGTCAATAGGTTTGTGCCATCCTAACTGGAAGTAAATAATGCCCTTTTAAAATCATCTAAATGCTAAATACCAGTAATGAGGAGCCCTGCCCCAGCCTCCCTTTCAGGATGGATTTATTAGTGTGAGGCATCAAGGTCATCAAGATGAGAAAACTGCTAAGGAACAATACAAGTGATTAAGCTTGAGTTGATATCCAGGAAACCAGGGCAGCTCTGCATCTTATATGCACTCAAGGGAAATGAGGTGAAGGAATACTCTAGTTGAATTCTGCAAGAAAAAGCAATAGCATCCAATTGGTGAATGAAGTATTGTCCTAGTTTATGTTTTGAGCATCAAAACTTTTGTCTTTATTGAGCCATATCTCAAAATATTTTGCCTTTTCCAAAATGTATTCGAAGCATATACTGCTGGATAACTTTGTTCTCACCATTTGATGAGGAGAAATTAAAACGTGAAAAGATCTTTTAGTCCCCAAGCATTCCTTAAAATTTCTGTATTTTTGAGCATTTACCTCAAGGCACTGTGAATATTGGTAAGTTGTGATCAAAGAAGCCATTTTAGAAATAGCAAAATACATGTATAGGATACTAGGCAGAGGGTAGGCCTCTCATGTCAAATGTGTAGCTTTTTATTAGTATAAAATAAGGTAGAGATAATCTATTGCTATTTCCTCCTCTGTTTCCCCAAGAACATCATTTCCTCCCATCTTTTGAGTAAGTGCTATGGTAGGCAGAACTTTTTAAAAAAGCTAAGGCTGTAGCTCAGTGGTAGAGTACTTATCTAGCATGTGCAAGGAGGTTCTGGGTTCAATCCCCAGCACAACAAAATAAAATAAATGACTCCTTAAAGATGTTCTGTTCATTCTAATCCCAGAACCTGTTAATTTGATATCATACCCCTGGTTATGTTATATGGCACTGTTATCTTAGATTATCTAGATAGGCCTGATTTAATCAAATGAGCCCTTCCTTAAAAGCACAGTTTTCTCAATCTGGTGGCATTAGAGAAAATCACAGAGATTTGAAGAAAGAATTTAATGCACCACTTTGAATATGGAGAGGACCGTCTGTAAGACCCAGAAAGCAGCCTCTTAGAGCTGAGAGTGAACTCTAGCCACCAGCCAGAAAGGAAACAGGGATCTCATCTATTAAGTGCAAAGAACAGACTTGCTAACAGCCAAAGGAGTTTGGAAGTGATTCTTCCTTAGAACCTCCAGAGAAAGGCCCAGCCCAGACAGCAATCTGCCTCTTCATTGACTCTAATGCAGCTCAGAAAGGCTAAGTAGGAAAGATATTTAAGCCAAAAACGTAAGCCACGCTTTTTTACTATGGCTATTTAATTTAATATATAAAAGTTGCCTTTTTCTTTCATGTTCAAGAATCTTGACTCCAGGTTATATAGGTAGGAAGGGATCAAACAAAATAGGAGCCCTTGACAAAAGCTCCTTATATCATACCACTTTGCCTCCTGGAGGCCAGGATGTCATTGGAGAAGAGGGAAAAAAATCTGGACAGTTTCTGTAGTTTCTCGGTGAAAATGACTGATTGTTCTTAGAATTGCTATCTCTGCCGTTGTCTTGCAAACAGGTAGCATTTTGCTTACTCTTGGGTTATTTTAGCCCACTGATCATTTTCTGGGTTTCTGGGCAGACTCAACTTAATTGGCTCAGCTCTGCCTCCAAGATGGATATTTTTAGGCATTGTGTATTACAGCCTTCTAGGAACTGTGTAGCTGCTTTTACAGAAAAGAACTCGGCATATCTTGCTGGGGTGATGGCTGGGGTGTGTATGTTTGTGTGTATGTGTAGGGATAAACAGACTTGCAGCCCTTCTGTACCCTTACAGCTTCTCCATCCATATCTCCCAACAGCTGGACCAGGAACTTCAAGTTTCCAAAACACAGCTGCAAAGAGTAGCAAACAGCTAGCCCATAGCTCCCTTAGCAACAGGAGAACAGTCAATAGGGATTTAAGGTAGGGAGAAAGTTTAGCTCAGGCAAAGTTGGTACAGTACAAGACTCATAAGGGCTGGGGATATATAAGTAGAGCACTTACCTAGGGTGCAACAGGTCCCATGTTCAATTCCCAGCACCTTAAAAACAAAAACCACAAGAGACTTATAAAGCAGCTAAACTTGTAGAGTAGTCTTTATTGGAAGTCTTGGGCTGGAAGTGTGGTGCAAGTGGTAAAACCCTCGGCTAACAAGCATGAGATCCTAAATTCCATCCCCAGTACAGAAAGAAGGAAAGAAGGAAGAAAAAGGAAGGAAGGAGGCTCAGAATCCTGGGTTCAAGTTACTAACTGAATAGTTTTTGGTTAACTTTCTGGGCTGCAAGTTTCTTCCCTTGTGTGAGATGGAAGATCTGCCTCCCTGAGATTTCAGAAATAGATGAAATTAGCTTGCTTTGGTGCTGTGTTTTGTTTTTATTTTTATTTTTTGTTTTTGGGTGCAGGGCCTCACCCATGCTAAGCACATGCTGCAGCACTGCGCTACACCCATATCCCAAAATGAGGCTCTAAAACTACTTGTTGGAGAGCTAGACTGTGTAAATTATCTCTATCTCTGCTGTTTCTTAGTTACCAATTTGCTAGGAGTAACTTAACACTAGGATTCTCTACTAGTACTAAAATTAGACTCAACCACTCTTCCTTTTCTCCCTCTTGCTTTTGTTTTTAGGGCATGGGGGAGACATCTGCACTGCTGGAGTTAATGATAAACTAAAGACTAAAGAAAATTTTCTCCCACTAGAAAACACTACTTCATCCT